TGAATTCGTCGTCGTCTACAGAAGCGCTCGCTGGGGCTCAGAGGCGACGGTGGTGAGAAGCCTCGATCTCTGGGGGCCTGTTGGTGCCTGTACAGACCCACTCCTCGCAAGGTCCCTCGGAGCTCGAAGATGGTACAGCTCGAACTCCTTCGTGTCGTCGTCCTTGTCTGTGTCGTCTGTGTCGTCGTCGTCGTCGTCGTCGTCGTCGTCGTCGTCGTCGTCGTCGTCGTCGTCGTTGTCTGCATCGTCGTCGTCGTCGTCCTTCTTGCCGTATCGGCGAGTGACCACAGCGACGAGGGCCCCAGCCTCGAGCCGGCAGTCTCGCCCTGGGAATCTAGTTTGGCCTGTGCGTGCTGTGGTGCCGCACGTGGTCTTTCATTGTCTGTCGGCAGCAGGGCCGCACGGCTGGCCAGCGTGCAGGGCTTCGTCGTGCGGTTCGCGTCATGGCGTGAGCTGCCGGCCAGAGCTGTTTCACCTCTGGCGCGCCCGTCCTGGGCCTCTTCGGAGACGCGCCCACTTGCCACTCGCCACTTCTCTCCTTCTCGGTGGGTGACCACAGCGGCCAGGGCCCCAGCCTCGAGCCGAGAGTCCCGCTCGGGGTACCTAATTTGGCTTGTGCGCGCTGTAGTTCACCACCCACCAAACCACCCCAACCCAACCCGAAGGCCTTAATTTGCCCTCCATTTCCAGTGGGGGGTCGGGGGACAGTGAGAAAACACATATTGAACCCATACCCCCCCAAACCCGAAATTCGGGTCTTCGGGTTGGGTTGGGGTGGTCTGGTAGGTAGCCAGTAGTGCCGCACGTTATCTTCTGTTTGCTGTTCCAATGTCTTGCATGGATGAATGGCCGTGAGCAGCACTGCATGCCATTCTCGTTCGCGTACCCTCGTTTCCTGCCTCCGTCGTGCAATGTGCTGTTTCCTCTCGGACTCCGTCGCAGCCTCTGGAAGAGCACAAGGACAGCCCGCGTGAGAGGTAGCACGCACAGGCAGAGCTGGCAGGACAGACAAGGGCTCGCTGTGTTGCGACTTCGTTGGCAGACGAGTCTGGTGCTGTCCTCTGGCGTCTGCGACGAGAAGGCGGGCGCCGGCCAGCCTGCTGAGGCTGCTGCTGCTGAGCCCACGGAGCTCTTATCCTTGCACGAGACGCTGTCGTACCATTGCCATTCGATGACGCTGCACGTCCCCTTGCTGGAGGTCGACCCCGTCCACGCTGCACAGGGGGTTGCGTACGCACGACAGAATTGCCTGTCCGAGAAATCTGGTGTGCCACATGCTTTACATATCCAAATGTGAACTGGCTGACTAGACATGTGATGAGGCTGTTGCTGAACAAAATGGTGATCAAGATGTCTTGTCCTCGCTGCCGCAAGCCTCACCATAATCCTGTCGTCAGTACGTCTTGTCCGAGGCGCGTGTGCCAGGCCATGCGCCTTCTGTAATGTAGCGATTCGTGGCTGGCCATGTGGAACGACTGGCGCGGTATGCTGGCGCGCGTGACCCCAAACAGAAAATAACGATTCAGAATATGCATGAGGCGTTTCAAAAAGGGCCTTGCCTTCGAGGATCGAAGGAGTTGTTATCTCTTCCGCGGCGGAAGGCGGCGGAAGCTCGGCGGAAGCTCGGCGGAAGACGGCGGAAGCAGACGAAAACGTTTTTGGGTTCAGTGTTTCCGAAATCGCCCGTATAGTGAAGGAAAGGGCCGCAGGCCCGCCTCGTTCACCACCATGGCAGGACCCGAGAAGGGAAGCGGGAAATGACGGGCGGCCAGCGCACGGAGCCCTTGCGAGGAGGAGGAGGAGGAGGAGGAGGAGGAGGAGGAGGAGGAGGAGGAGGAGGAGGAGGAGGAGGAGGGTGGGGGGAGGGAGAGGGGGAGGGGAGGGGGAGAGGGGGGGGGAGGAGGAGGAGAGGAGGAGGCGGAGGAGGAGGAGGAGGAGGAGGAGGGGAAGAAGGAAGAAGAGGAGGAGGAGAAGGAGAAGGAGGAGCGAGGAAATGTCAGGAAATGTCAGGAGATGCGGGGACATGTGAGGACATGTGAGGAGACGTGAGGCGGAGGAGGAGGAGGATGAGGAGGAGGGGAAGGGGCACTGCCTGGAACAGCTCCTGGTCGCCCTTATCCCAGCTGGCCACGGCCCAGACTCGGGGGCCCCCAAACCGGGTGGTGATCACACCGTTCGGTGAGGTCCTGGGGGATTTCGAGGTCACCGCACGGGGCCGGCTTATCCGTGGCCGAGTGGATCTGCCCTCGACCACCGTGCTCGCGTGCAGGCGGAGCGCATGATCCTCTTGCGCGTTGTGCCATTCTCGACAGCCGCCCCTGCGGGCCAGCGCTGGCGGGCGGCGTGCCCACAGGGAGCGCGGGCACTTGGTGGGGAGGAGGAGGAGGAGGAGGAAGAAGAAGAAGAAGAAGGGAAGAGGAGGACGAGGGGGAGGAGGAGGTGCGTAGAAGGTTTGGTTCAAGGCCATCTGCGGGAGGGTGGGGAGCTCACCGCCGCCCGCGGGAGGGGGGCCGGCGGCCCGCGGACAGCCTACAAGTCCAGACACAGCTAAAGCGACAGAATTGATGTCCCTCCAAAGCCGAAGCCAGCGCCTCGAGGTGCACGAGGCGGGGAGGCATCCAGCTGAGAGCCAGGTGCGCCCGTCCGCCTCGGAGGGGCCGCTCCACAAAGGGTACCCGATGCGCCGTTCGACTCTGCAGAGGCCCCTCTCACCGATGGCGCGTCGTCAAGAGCCACGCCGCGTCGCCGCATTAAGAGCGTGTTTCTTCATGGCTTGGGGCATAACGAGCATCATAGCCCCCGCCCCCCCACCATCTCATGGCGCTGATGTTTGCTCGATCCGCGGGGGCGTGCCGCACTGGACACCTGGAGTTCCAGAGGGCCCGATCTCATGTCATGTGCGATCGGGAAAGAGGGAGCTGCGTGAATTTGAGTTGAGGAGGAGGAGGAGGAGGAGGAGGAGGAGGAGGAGGAGGAGGAGGAGGAGGAGGAGGAGGGGAGAGGAGGAGGAGGAGGAGGAGGAGGAGGAGGAGGAGGAGGAGGAGGAGGAGGAGGAGGAGGAGGAGGAGGTGGCGTGTGAGCAGGAGACAAAGGAGGAGGAGAAGGAGGAAGGAGGAGGACGAGGACGAACACCAGCAGCAGGAGCCAGAGTGGAAGAGCGGGAGGAGCAGGAGGATCAGGGGAAGGCGGATGAGGGGAAAGGAGGGAGGCGACAACGGTGAGGAATGACTCACATCCAGAAGAGTGACTCGCGCTTGGGCGATAGGGCCACTCTGAACGACGGGAGCAGAGCGCCGATGCCAAAAGGAGGTTGCCGCTGCAGCAGCAGCACCACTTCGAAGGACCGAAAGCGACCAGATGGTAAGCCGAGGCCATCGGACACAAAACAAGAACATGTGCAGTCTTGCGAGAAAGAACTTCGTGCGCGGAGGGGGGCAGGCCACTCCTGAGCCAGCTTCGAGGGAGAGGGAAGGAACATGCATATGGAGGACCTGCGGAGGCGAAACATGTGTATTGTGGGCTCAGGAGGAGGAGGAAGATGAGGAGGAGTAAGAGGAGGAGGAGGAGGAGGAGGAGGAGGAGGAGGAGGAGGAGGGCAGGAGGAGGAGGAGGAGGAGGAGGAGGAGGAGCAGGAGGAGGAGGAGGAGGAGGAGGAGGAGGAGGAGAGAAGGAGGAGGAGGAGGAGGAGGAGGAGGAGGAGGAGGAGGGCTGGGGAGCAGCAGGAGGCGGAGGGAGATGTGGGAGGAGCGGAGTGCGGAAGAGGAGGAGGAGGAGGAGAAGGAGGAGAAGGAGGAGGATGAGGCGGAGGCGGAGCAGGAGGAGTGATGAGGCAGGACCAGTGGACTTTGCTTTCTCCAACCAGAATCCGAGGCAGGAATCTATACATGACCACCGCCTGGAGGATCAAGTGTCGGGGACCTCGGCAGGCGGTGGATATGGACATATTCGGGCCCCCGGGGGCCAAAATATATCCATCTCCACCGCCCGCCGGGGCACCAGGACGTCGGTTCCCAGGCGGTGGACATGGATAAATCCCAGCCTCGCACAGAAGGAGTTTCGCTCTTCACGCGAGTGCTTTGATTTCCCTCAAGACTGCGGCGGCCAAGATTTTGGGAGAGCGAGAGGGGCTTGCCCCGGGGAGCAAAGGGGGGCTCGCCAGCCGCCCTCATGGGCGAGCGCCGGCGGCCGAGCCATGCCAGTTTTCTCAGAGGATGCTCTCTCTTTGTCCTGTGCTACGGTTGAGGGGGAAATTAAGCAGCACTTCTCCCTCCCCCCGCAGTTCAGAGTTGACACGTCTACGCATCACTGGTCCGACGCTCAAGCTCGGGAGATCCGAGCCCAACATTGCATTCGGGGGGAGGGGAGACGAGTTCACACCATATGTTACGCGTGAATGTTCCGGAGACAAAAACACATGAACATAAACTTTTGGCGCTCCGCGCGGATTTCTTGGATCCGCGCCTGGGCCCCCCGGCGGCGCCTCCGGCGCCGCCCCTGGCGCGCTCCGGGGCCCAGCGCGAGCCCAAGAAATCCGCGCGGCGCGCCAAATCATTTATGTTTGTGTGATTTTTCCTTCTTCTAGTTACGCGTGAGTGGTGCTCAATTTCTTCCAACGCCTGTAGGTCGCAGCTTTCCTGCTGATGAAGCTTTGGTGGACCTGTCGGCCTGTGGGCCCTCGGGCCCCCGAGGCCTCGGGCGGCCTCTGGAGGCCTCGGGGGCATGGGGGGGCCTTCGGGCGCAGAGACCTCCGAGGGGATAAGCTGGGGTCAGGGTGCAGCAGGTGTAAGTCGGGCCTGTCCCTCCACAGGGGGACGATTCAAAAATAGTCGAAAAAATAGTCAGGGGACGATTTTGGGAGTATTGTTGGGCATCTTTTTCATATGTTTGACATGCTTGTCATTTTTCGCCCAACATCCCCCTGTAGGGGGACAGGCCCGACCTAACAGCAGGTGCGGGTGCCGAGCAGCGGGCGCGAGTGCCAAACAAGAGCCGCTCCCCAGCGACCTTCACGGTGGCCGCCAAGATTACGACGACGACGATGCCGTTCGACTGCTCCATGGGGGCCGACCATCCCGAGCTGTGGATCTTCAGCAAGAGGGCCTGGTGCTGCTCCGCCCGCGGCAAGGGCTGCTGGGACTCCACCACGGTCACGACCTCCAGAACTACGACGTCGACGCGCACCACCAGCACCAGGACAACGACATTCACCAAGACGTCAACGCTCACGTCAACCATTACACACACGACGACAACAACGACGACCAGGACAACTAGCACCTCCACGAAAACTTCGAGTACCTCGACGAGGACGGTCACGACCACAACCACTCGCACCACGAGCACGTCTACTATCACCAAAACGTCCACAACCACCACCCACACAACGACGACAACGACACCTCCCCCATTCACCTGCGAGGGGAAGATTGGGGGCCACATGTCCAACTGGACTGGAAGAAAGATGAAATGGTGTTGCCGAGAAATGGCAATTGGCTGTCCTACACTAACCACGACCACTACTAGCACAATCACTAAGACCTCCACCGTCACGACCTCTACCTCGACCAAGACCTCTACCTCTACCTCTACCTCGACTGTGACTGTAACCCGAACCAAGACCTCGACTACCTCGACTCGTACCTCTACCTTCACGACCTCTACTACTACCAGGACCCGTACTAACACCGACACCTTAACTTCCACATTGACCAACATAACAATGACAGCGTCCAGCACCACGACAGCGATCTCCATAACGGGAACTGAGACTACAGTTTCAACCCAAACCGCAACAACAAACACCACGACTTCTACTAGAACCAGAACGTCTACCACCACGAACACCACCACGACCACGAGTACCAAGACCACCACGACAGTCACCGCAACGATGACAACTCTGACCGCCACGGAGACCCAGCGGCGCGCAGAACGGTGTGTGTCCTTTCTACGAAGGCCGGGAGCTTCTCTGAAGCCTTCCCGCCTTCCCAGAGGCTTTCTTTGAAGCCCAACGAGTCCCTCTGAGAAGCCCCCTTCCCTTTTCGAAGCCCCCCCCGCTCCAGCACCTTGTGCGCGCCGCCAGGAGACGACAACCACGACCAGCACGACGAGCACGTTCACGAGGACCGATCGGGAGTGCCTGCGCGAGGCAGCGCCGACGGCGGCGACGACGACGGCGCGGAGGAGGAGGAGGAGGAGGAGGAGGAGGAGGAGGAGGAGGAGGAGGAGGGCAATGTACGACATCGCGAGTGGCACGGACGCCGTGAATGGCACGGACGCGCCCCCAGTCCCTTCCCTTAGAAAACCTCTTAAGCCTCAGGATTGTGGGATTGGCTGGACGGGGCCCCTCTCCCACCCCCACCTCCTCCTCCTCCTGTTTCTCCAGTTTCTCCATCAGCCGAGAATCCGCGGTGCCGAGGCGGCGCAGAACCTAGGCCAGAAAAGGACGGGGGGGGAAGAGAAAGTGAGAGAGGACCCTGACCGAGGCGGTGCCCTCCCCCGCCTGGGCCACCGCTGAAGGGACCCGAAGTCATCCTTCAGTGGTGACCCTGGCAGGGGAGCCAACGCCTCCGTGAGGCTCCTGTGGGGGCCCCTCGTGACTCGAAGCCTCAGCCGAGGATGGGGGCGTCGCCTCCGCAAGGCGGCCTGCCCCTCTCTCGGTCCAAAGCGGGACGCTGCGGCCGAAACTCGCACGAGTGGTGGGGTCCACACCCTGCCGCAGCATCTCCAGAGACTTGCCTGTAGCGTCATTTCGGGGCCTCCCAAAACAAACTTCAGCCAACAAATTCATTCGGTGCCTGGCATAGCTGCCGCACCTGGAACACCAAATGATTGGGAGGGCAGCACCAGGATCACCTCCCCACAATCGATGCGAGCGATGAGCCTGGCGGCAAATCCTGGGCGAGCCTGAGCACTTGAAGCTGGCCAGGTGAGTCCAGCTCCGCCCTCGGTCGAGACAGATCGCACACAACCAGCCTTTCCCCAAACGCCCCAAGACATGCCCATTGGGGTCAGGGCAGAGGATGAGCTGGGTCCCTGGAGGACGAGGCTTCTTAGCCACGACCTTAGAAACGTCACGAAACTTGGGCCTCCCTGCAACCTCGAGCATGGCGCCTGTGAAGCGGCCTAAAATCTGCAGGCGCTGCCTTTGCTCGACAAACTGGTCGCGGAGGGCCACTGGAATGGGAATGTCACTGGCTGCGCTCCTGGCAGCTTGATCCGCAACTCGGTTCCCTTTCCAAGCCCAGAAAGACACACCCATGGAGAGGGCCTTGGGCCAAGTCTTATGGGCGGGGACATGGAAAACACGAAACGAATCGCCTCGGTCCCGCCGCCTGAAATTAATTTCTTCCCAAAGCTCAGCAAAGGGCAGGTTAGAGACATCAGCTTCCGCCCCTCGGTCCCAGGTCAAGACAGCCGACTGACAGTCACAACCAAGTTCAACATCGCCTGGGCCCGAGAGGCGGAGAGCCATGAGGATGGCGAACACCTCTGCGCCATATATTGAATGCAACGCGTGCGGAAGGGGACCGCTGGCCGAGCCAAGAACATTTCCACCTCCGTCCAGCATCACAACTGCCCAGGCAGAGACCGTGAAGAGAGGGAGGTCGGGAAAGAGGGCAGACCCGTCGGAGCACACGCGGCCTTGCAATTCGTGCTCGCGCGCGCGGCGCGGTGCGGCGCCGGAGTTGGATGGCGGTGGAACGCTGCGAAGGAGGAGGAGGAGGAGGAGGAGGAGGAGCAGGAGCAGGAGCAGGAGCAGGAGGCGGAGGAGGAGGAGGAGGAGGAGAAGGAGGAGAATGACGACGACCATGACCGCGACCACGACCACGACCACGACCGCGACAACGACGACGACGACGACGACGACGACGACGACGACGACGACGAGGACGAGGACGAGGACGAGGACGAGGACAACGACGACGACGACGACGACGACGACGAGGACGAGGACGAGGACGACGACGACGACGACGAGGACGACGTGCAAGCGGATGGCACGATGCCAATGGCTGGCGTCGGGCGTCGAGCTCCAGGGCCCTCGCTGGCGGCATCTGTGCTGGTGCCTCCAGCAGGTCGCCAGCGTCGCCGCCGTCGTCGTCGTCTTGGTCGGCATCGCCGCCGCCGCCGTCAGCGTCGCGTCCGGCATCCTCGTCGTCGGTACGTCGATGGTGACTTTTCCTGGTTCACGGTTTCACCAACTCGTCGCAGCAGCGGCGAGGGCACGCGTCGCGACGCCAGTCGGCGTGCGGAGGGTGCGCGCAGCGACGTCAGGCTTGCACTGCTGCTACAGCAGTAGCAGCAGCCCTAGCAGCACAGTTGACCCGCCCAGGAAGGATGGGCAACCGCCACTTTCGTTGGCCGCGCCCCGCTCGGAAAGCCTCGGAATGGCCTTCCAAGGCCCCTGCATCCTTATCGTGCGTCCTTATTACACAGCTGGGGCAAAAGTTTGTTCAATGTGCCATGATGATGATATCTCTTGTCCCTCTGAATATTCCGAACATGGCATAATGACTGCGTCATTCGGCGGAGTAGTTTCCGATCCGCTTAATACTTATAACTCTGCTACCCCCAAACTGGATTTGAAACTACTCCACTCCAAACCTTATGAGTTCTCGAGCGGGACGCGCCCACGCGCTGAGTGGTTGGAGCACTTCTACTCCGAGCTACTCCGCGCTGATGCGCTATTGGCGAAGGCAGATTGAGAGAAACTGTCGTCACGGGTTGGCTGTAGTCGCAGCCCTGGCAGTAGCAGCCGCCACCATCGCCTTGATCGCCCCGTGCCGCCCTGCGGGCGTGCCTCGGGATCGCGCCAGTCGGGCCGAACGAAAGGGGGGGATAGGAAAAGGGGGGGTTACGAAATCTGCTGCATGCAGCTGGTTTCGGCCCCGCCGCCGGGCCCATTCCTCGATGCACGGGCGCCTCCCGGCGCCGGGAGGCGCCGGGAAAGTCGGCTGCACGTGAGCGGATTCTCCACCGTGCCCTCTGCTATGTATCCTCCCCTCTCGTTCCCCCCCGAGCCAGGGCCCCTCCGCGCGGCCGTGGGCCCTCGGCGGCCGGGGGCTGCCGCCTCTGGCTCCGCGCCTCTGGCCCCGCGGCCGCGGCCGCGGCGGCCCTGCCCGCCGAGCGGGGGGAGGGGCGCCCTCCCCGGCTCTATATGTATGTATATATATATATATATATACACATCTCTCTCTCTCTCTCTCTCTCTCTCCTGGTGCCAACATCGCAGAGCGGATTTCGTTCGGGTCACGATAGGCTGGGCCCGGGGTGTCTTGGAGAATATCGTTTTGGGTTTCGAGGTGAATTTCGTGCGGACTTTTAATGTGGCCGGGAGTAAAGACCAAAAAGAATCCACGCGAAATTCACTTCGTTTTTCGCTCGCCGCTTCGGGCAAAAATCCACACAGAAATCCATGCAGCACATCTGCAAGGCCGGTGCAATGAAACATGGATCAAGGGGCAATCCACAGGTTCCGCCACAGTCGTTCCTTTCGTTCGGCGAAAGGTTGCTCAAGAAGACCAGTTTTTTTTCCTCGGGCGCGCGTCGAGGACATGTTACCTAAGACCGGCTTTTTCCTTGATGCCCGATCTTGCGATGACCAGGTGGGAAAATTGATTTAATTTACCAGTTTCAACGCTGGCTGGGCCTGTATCCAGAGCTGATTGCACGAGAGGTCATCGGTTCTGCCCGCTTCATCCTTTCTGCTTTCCTCAGGAAAAAACAAGCATGGATCAAGGGGGCGTGGATTAGCAACGGGTCCCGTTTCCACGGGAAATCGCGGATTTCCGCCGCCGAGCGAGGCGGCACTTGCCGAATTTTGGGGAGGGCACCTTCCCCGATCCATGGACTTTGCGACCGCGCGCCAAATCCATGGATCGCTAATCCATGTTTGCGCGCCCCAGATTCACCCGCAGAGTAAGGGTGGGCAGCCTTCTCAAGGCTGCCCTCGCATCCTTGCCTCCTCGGTCCATCCCTGGCCACTGTCGCTGGCCGCGCCCCGCTCGAGAAGCTTCGACATGGCCTTCCAGGGCCTTTGCATCCTTGTCGTGCGTCCTTGTGATGCGGGTCGACTGTGCCACATCCATCCGTCAATGCCGCCCCCCAGAGAGCCATGCTGGCGGTGGGTTGAACGAGTGGCACTTCGGCCGCAGTCTTCCCCCCGAGCGTGCCACCTTCGAGAGTTTGGGGGAGGGGTAGGGGAGCGTCCACAGACTGCGTCCCTCCACCGTGCCATGAGCTTGTGGGACAGCGCGTCGGCCTACCGTGCTTCGGCGCGACGCGCTGTCCACGCCCCGGCCCCCAGGCATCATCGTCCGGGGCCTCTCTGAGCCTTCCTGCCCCGCGGAGCGGAGCGGTACGCAACCCGCCTGCATGGCATAGCATGTCGCGGGGGCCGCCGCGGCAGCACGCCAGGCAAAAGTTCCCGACCGCAGCGGCGTCTTGGGAAGTATCGGGGCGGAGGCTTCGCCTTTCTGAGCCGTTTCTGGGCCCTGGGCCCTGCGGCCGTGCATCTGTCGCCGTCGCAGTCGTGCACAGGGTCTTGCACAACCCCTCTCGGCTGACGTGGAGACGACGCGCTTGCCTCGCACCACGTGGCGCAGCACGTGGCCTGCCGTGCCCTGGCTCGCGCCTGCCTGCCGACAGCCTCAGAGCCTCACCCGGCGGTGCCCCCCCCGGCCGGCGGCTCCCTGCTCGGAGCCATGCCGCGGCGTGCGCCCGCCCACGGCGCCGCCGCCTGCACCGGGGCGGGCGCCCTCGCGGCGCTGGGCACCGCCACGTGGGCCTTCGCGGCGCCGCCGCTCCGCGCCGGCGGCCCGCAGCTGCGGGGCACGGGCGCCGGCGCCCGGCACGGGCAGCCGCAGGAGGCGCCGGGAGCCCGTGGGGGGGACTCCTTTTCAAGAGGAAGCGACTTAAGGGGGTTTTCTGGCCGCGCCGTCGTCGGTGCACTTCGCGGCAGAGGGGGCTCACGGGTCGGGCGGCCGCGCCGTCGTCAGGATTCCCAACCCCTCCTCTTCGCTGCAACATCCCCGCAGTTCCCCAGGTGGCGGTCGTCAGTTTTTTTGCGACACTCTCTAGGTGGTGAGGGAGGTGTTTCCGTCAGTTTTGCGACCCCCCCTTCATTTTTTCCTGTTGAGTCCACGTCGTCGGTTCTGA